TTTGTATACGATATTTTTAATGAAAATATCTGTTTACAACGTTCATCAATAATTGTAATTAGTTACATTTTTGTAAATATTTTTATTTAAAAATATTTTTAAGACATCAACATAACAAAGATTACCCAAAATTATATAAGGGATGTTCATATTAGGTATATCATATTCAATATGACAAGAACAAGCCTAATACTACAATAAAAACTTGGTGTTGATTCGTAAATCAACATATCAATTTGATTTTGACTTGGGCAGCAGGAGTATTCCTACGACCATGCAAATGATAGTAAATGCTTGAGCACCAACACGAGCACGCATCATGTACTGTTGCATTTGTTGCCTTCCCTTAGAAAAGTTGAAGAGTCCAATACTTAGGGCTGCAACAGTTCCGAATGCTCCTAGAAATATAAAAAAAAATAGCAGAAAAAATAGCGTTGCGTTAAAGATGACTAATCAAGCTCAATAAAACGCGGTTCTTTCGCACAGATGTACAAGTCTCTTTATTATTTTTATCCTGTTAGCTACATCTCCGCAGCTTCTTGTTACAAAGATCAGAAGGATTTGGTTCGATAAATTCTATCTCGGTTTACGGAATATAGGTTAGTTTACCTATCGGTACCAGTGGATTCTCTAGCGTTTTACGTTTCGCCTTCTGAAAAAATGTCTCGGTAACATAAGATCTATTTAGATCTTCACGTATTTCCACCCAGTCCAATTCGTCATCCGGTTTTAAGTCTCCCATATCCGTCCCGCGAAAAAAAAGAATACAAGATCTCACAACAGAATCTGCGGCACCCGCGGCACTGAGCTCATGTTAATGACCACGTGCGAAAGAGCGTAGGTTAACGATTGATAATGATTACGTTAAATCGATAACGTATATCGGACAATGTATTCAATTGGACTTCGACGACACGATGAGAAAATCGTATAATCTCTCCCTCCTCGCTAATCTCTTCCTCCGAGGTTGTCCGAGATCAGTAGCGTCATTCGGTGTCCGTGACGGAACACGTCAGACGGTCTCAAGGAGAGCGAGAGAGAGAGTGACGTTCCGAATTGATGTTGCGAGTGTTACAACTATTGCAAGTAACACAAGTGCGTGTGTAACCAATGCTCTCGATCGCTCGAGGAATTTTATACCTATTTTAGATCGTTCGATGTGCGGACTGGTAAATAAAAAAATGAATACGCAAGAAGTAGTGGAGGAGCTGACGCAGGTCTGTATTCAGATGCGCTTCCACCTCGACGATTTGGAACAGAGGGAAAAAGAGATATTAATCCTAAAGCACATCAGGCGCTTCGAAAACAGCGGAGCAGCTCGTGATTTCCCAAAAGGTACTCACGAAAAAAGTTTAGTCAGTTAGAAATAAATGACAGTTATCTGTTGCAGAAAAAAATGGCTAACAATCGTCATGGGAGGGTCATTGTTATTAATTAATTTCATTGTATTAATTAATTTTCAGTATTTGCGTATAAGCAGAACAATTAAGACTCATTATGACGTCAAAATGATTCTAAATTGTTGTATATCGAAGATCACTTTTTTAATTAGCAACAATTCATTATCGTGATTTACAGTTCTACTTGGGCACTTTGTAAAAAGCTAATTAAAAGTGGATTATTATCTGCAGGAAAAATGATTAATAATTATTATCGTTATAATTTTTAATGATATATATTATACAGGCTTGGAATGGTTTAACGTGTCCGAAGGATTGTCGCTAGGGCAGCATCTAAAAGGAAAAATTGTGCTTTTGGACTTTTTTACATATTGCTGCATCAATTGCATGCATGTTTTGGCCGAGCTGGAAGAAGTCGAGAAGAAAATCTCTGTAGAGGATGGTCTCGTGGTAGTAAGTATTAACATATTTTCTTACAGGAAAGAGAATTCTAGAAATTCAGGAACTTCTAGAAATTAAAGATATACATTAGATATGATTTTGTCCGAGACTATAATAATTCTTCTATTTAGATCGGAGTGCATAGCGCAAAATTTACAAACGAGCGCAGTTCGAAGAATGTCTTATCTGCTGTACAGAGATATAATATCACACATCCTGTGGTAAATGATGTAACGTTAAGAATGTGGCACGATATGGGAATAACGTGTTGGCCTAGCCTGATTATGTTAGGTATGAAACAATATTTGATTCCTTTGCTTTTTTCCCTAACAGCTACATATTAATACTATTTGTGAAAACTTCCTATTGTCACAGCTATATGTGTTTAAATTCATTTCAGGACCTAATGGTCAACCACTGGCTGTTTTTGTGGGTGAAAATCACAAAGATGAAATACTATTATACACAAAAATAGCAATAAGTTATTTTAAATCCTTAAAACAAATGTCAAATCATGGTCTTCCATTAAAGCCAGCGCATCATCTTTTACCATCTTCTAAAGATGGTCTGCTATTTCCTGGCAAGCTAACGGTTCTTCAGTTAGAACAACAAACGAAGCTAGTCATATCTGATAGTGGTAACAATAGGATTGTAATTACAAATGAGCACGGGAGAGTGGAACACGTTATAGGAGGATGCAATCAGGGTTTTAAAGATGGCGATTTCAAAAACGCTAGATTCAATTCACCTCAAGGAGTCTGTGTGCTAAATAATGTAATCTACGTTGCGGACAATAATAACCATGCTATTAGAAAAGTAAGTAAAAGTACCATTTTTTTATTATTGTAGCATAACGTTGATTCGCTATATTTAATCTCGATGTTAACCACGCTTTAGATAAACCTGGCAAAAAAAATTGTATCCACCATAGCTGGCACTGGTTCACAAGGTTGCGATCGAAAGGGTGGAAAACACGGCACTGATCAAGCTTTATCGTCCCCTTGGGATGTGGCAATTTATCATCACGAGTATAAAGGCATCACGGTGCCAGTGTTGTTAATCGCCATAGCGGGTACCCATCAGATCTGGGCACTGTTTTTGGAAGATACCATTTGGTGGAAGGAAAAGTGAGATATTATTTACGTAATTAATATGACATCTTCACGTTACGCATTTTTAAATGTGATTTTTGAACATTTAATTTAATAATGAATTTCAATTTTTTTATAATTCACGCAGATAACGAAAATGTCCGTATTTTAGAAAATACACGGCGGGCACTTGCGCTGCTATCGTTGGAAGTGGACGAGAGGAAAATCGCAACAACAGTTATCCTCATGCCGCGGGACTAGCACAACCCTCTGGCATTGCGATCGTTCAGGAATGTAAAGTTGCGTTTTTTGCGGACAGCGAAAGCAGTGCTATCAGACGGCTGCATTTAGATAGCGGACAAGTATCCGCTGTTTGTGGAGGAGATAAAAATCCAGCGGTTCGTTCAATAACAAATAGTTTTCATTTATTTTCTCACTTTGCATTTGTGTATACGAATAAGATAGCTTTAATCAATTTGTTCGATACGTAAACAAGCGTTAGCTTTCGTTCGAATAACAGCAGTAAATCAATGACGTTTATTTTATCAGACTTTTTAGAATCACTTTGTATTGTAGAACTTACATGCGTTTGGAGATGTAGACGGAAAAGGACATTTGGCTAAACTTCAACATCCATTAGGCGTAACGTGGAATCATTTGGATAAACGAATTTATGTGGCCGATACTTACAATCATAAAATTAAAAGCGTAGATCCTACGACGGAGTATTGCAAAACGTTGTTTGGCGATAAAAAACCCGATCATACATTTATCGTAAGTATATTTTTTGAAGAAACAGCAATTTATAAAAAAATATTTGCAAAAATTAATTAAATTGTCAAAATTTTTTAGTTCAATGAACCGAGTGGCCTTGCTGTTAGTCCAGACGGTAACATTCTTTACGTAGCAGATACCAACAATCACGCTCTTAAAATTATTGATCTAAAAAATGAGAAGATTTCAACTGTAAGTATATTTCTGGAAGTCTAAACAGAATCACTTTAAAAATATAACTTTGTTTTATGAATCATGAAAGATTAATATAAATTTCCTTAATTTTATTTTTCAGATGGCTGTCGTATCCAGACGTGACTCGAATAGAAATACTGACAATGTATTCACTTTTGATACGACAGTAAATGCACGCAGTGGAGAACTAAATATTTCATTTAATATCGTATTTACGAACGATTTGAAATTAAATGCAGACGCACCGCAAGAATGGCAGGTGTCTTTACCTGCAAATACGTGGACGGCGAAATCATTGACGGGTAGACTTTCAACTCCTATATCGGTGAAACTTCCTGAAGAAGAAACGCGCAATCAATTATCCGTCACATTAAACATAATGGCTTGCACAGTGGACACGTGTGTACCACTAAAGCTGTCGGTATTGTTCAACGTACAACGTAAAACAGATGCGCCAACAGTTGTGACTGAAGAGAAAGAACTCGTTATCGGTTAGGAAATGCGTTTTATGCTTTCGTATGTGCTTTCGAAAAGTGTAAACACATACGTTGTATAATGAATATTTTTAAGATATTACATTTTGGAAATATGTATTTAAAATAAGTATATTTGCGGCGATAATTTTAATATAATAGTTATACCGTTATATATATATTCTATATAATTGTACATGTTACTTATTGTATTTTTAATTACTTCAGTCTATATTTTTTTTACAACTTTTTGATTTGCATTAAGTACAATTGTGTTAATTTTTATTCATCATGTCAGCGGGTGAGTGTCTGGCAAATTTTGTCAGTCTTAAATAGTAATTCAAACAAGAATTAATTATATTTTATTATAATATTTTATAATATATAATTATATTATTTTATTAGTATACTTTATATTATATAACTATATTATTTTTAATTGTTTAAAATATTTGTATTTGTACCTTTGCCACCAAATTCCAGCTTCTTCTTCTTCTTCATCTTCTGAGACATGTGATAACGTTGCAAAATCCGCCGTTCCCGATTGCCAATATTCATGCAACCATTCTTGATGGCCAGTTGGCTCTGACCAGCCTTTTCGGCAATTGTTTTCTATCCACGCACTTTCTGTCGCCGTTGGAATCTTGATCACCTTTGTAATTTATTAAAATTAAACCTACATTTGTCCTTCACGGGAATAAATAGATATGTATTGTTTATCACTGCCGAGAGATATCTTTACTTTTATGCATTTGCGATACGACATTACGCAATTACTATGTGGATCGAACATTCCAGCACCGGTGTCGTAGCAGTACGGAGGAATAATCTTAGTGGGCTGGACATTGGTTTTCAGTACTTCTCCGGCTGGTTTCAGTCCATTCACCACGCAGTTATAAAATCTGAAATAATTTTACCATCCATGAATACACGGGATGAATTCTCCTTTAGCTGCTATATTAAGAATCTGATGCTAACCGCCTATCGGGATATGCGCAATAATCCCAATCGTTTTCTCGATACGATAAACCGTCTGCGAACGTATAGCGCCTTTGCTTCATTTTTCCGCGATACCAAACAGCATCCATTCTTTGTCCACGTGGCCAATACATACTTCCACGACCATGAAGCATGCCGTTCCGGAATTCTCCCTCTAACACGACTTCTGATAAACAAGAATAGAATTAATCAGCGCTAATTAGTCGGTGCGATATTATGATCCTACATGGAAAGAATGGTTTCCGAATTTATGTCATTTTTATCATGATCAAAAAATGACATAAATTCGTCAGTATGACGTCAAATTGACTGAATGGTTTTCTCGTTCTCCTTGGGTAGATACAGATCTGAAAATAAATTCTGTTGGACTATCAAAATAATTACATATAGGACGCTCAGATCGATCACTAGAATATCAAAATTTTTGGTGATATCTCTGGGTGAAAATTTTTCTCAGAATTTTTCATATAATTTTTCAGAATTTCTC